TAAAAATTTAAAATACTAATAGAAACTCTGCTTTTTTTTTTTTTAAGATTTATTTATTATTTATGTACATGGCATTCTACCTGCATGTATACCTGCAGGGTATCAGATTTCATTATAGATGGTTGTGAGCCACCATGTGGTTCCTGAGAATTGAACTCAGGACCTCTAGAAGAACAGCCAGTGTTCTTAACCTCTGAGCCATCTCTCCAGCCACCCCTCCCCCCACTTTTTTTTTTTGAGACAATCTTTTCCTATGTAGCCCAGTCTGGCCTTGAATGGACACTCTTTCTCCAAATGCTAGGATTACAGGTGGGTGTTACCCTGTCTTTGCTTTTATTATAAAAGTTTTCAAAAACAGCAGAGGGGAGAGTCGCCTGGTGGTCATTTCCCATTTGCCCCTCAAGTGCAGGGTTGTTTTTTCACATTTGCTTCTTGAATTCTTATTTTGCTGAGGTTCAAATGATAGACATCAGGACCTTTCATTCTGAACTCTGACACACATTTCTAAAGAATGGTATTTTTCCACTTATAATTCTGTTACCACACCAAACAAAATTTAAAACAATAGTAACACCCAGTCTTTCATACTGTTTCCTCATTTTATCCCCAAGATGATTTTAGAGGTGGTTGAACAATTCACAAACCATTTTAAACATTAATTACCTGTTCAGCTACTTGCCATTCAATATTTACTGGGAGTTAGTTTCTTTTTTCTTCTGGTACTGAATAAACCTAGAAACCTAGGGCTTAAAAAAAAATTCTGTACTAGGGATTAAATCTAGGGCATTACTTATGCTAGGAAAGTGCTTTGCCAGTGAACCTTAACCCAAGGTTCAGTATTAAGGACAGTTAAATCTGTGGAGTCACAACACCTGGATTCAACCCGTTTTACCACTGAGTTGCAAGAACCTGAGCTAATTACTCAAATGCCCTGTACAATGTCTTCCTCTTAGGCAAACTGTGACAGTATCACTGACTTCACAGAGCTGGAGGAGGATATCTAAGGCTGCACTTGTCAGTCTGCAGAACAGAAGCTGCCACAGACCTGCTTCTATTACCTACCATCTTCTACTAGCCGTTTTCTCTGTTTAGGTTGCTGAAACTGATACCATGAATAGGTATCTTGTAGATGGCAGAAATGGACTTCTCAGTTCTAAAGCCTGAGAAGTCTAACATCAAGGCCCAGGAAGAGTTTAGTGTTTGGTAAGGGCTCACTTTTTGGTTCATGGATAGGCATCTTTTAGCCATACCCTGAATAGTAGAGGAGGAAAGGCAGTGTCTGGAGCTTTTATAAAGGCACTAATCCTAAATATTCAGGGCTCCTGACTTAATCCTCTCTCAAAGGTCCTCCCTCCTAATGCCAAACAGTGGCAAACTGTGGGAGACATAAACAGAACAAATTGTTTTGATTATTACTGTGAATGAGATATCCTAGGCTTCAGCATTGTGCTAATGTTAGAAAAAATGGTGAAACAGGCTTCCCTAAACAGCAGCAGCAACAACAGAAGCTGATTATGAAATGCTTACTAAGAACTGGGTACTACAGTATTTCTTTTTTCATGGGATTGAGGATGGAACCCAGGCTTTGTGCATGCGCTAGAACACTGAGTACTCCTGGCATATCATCCAGCCTGGCGATGACTTGGGACATCCCTGACACATACTTTAATACAGATAGAGGGCTGGAGAGATGGCTCAGAGGTTAAGAGCACTGCTTGCTCTTCCAAAGGTCCTGAGTTCAATTCCCAGCAACCACATGAAGGCTCACAACCATCTGTAATGAGATCTGGCGCCCTCTTCTGGACTTCAGGGTTACATGCAGACAGAATACTGTATATACAATAAATAAATAAATCTTAAAAAAAAAATACAGATAGATACCGTTTCTATTCCTGTTTCACAGATGTGGGAACTAGACAAAGAAGAGTGAAGGAAGCTGTCCAATGTCACAGACTAACAATACAGGAAGAATTCAAATTTTCAGCTTGGTGTGTTGTCACATGCCTTTAATCCTAGCCCTCAGGAAGCAGAGGCAAGGAGATATCCATGAGAGTGAGTTCCAGGCCACCCATGGATACATAGTGAAATAATGTCTCAAAAGAAGAAAAGGAAAAGTAATAAAACCCAGGTCTTTGTCCTGTAACTGACCCCTGTGAGTTATTAAGTGCTTCACTTTATTGCCTTTCATGGAACCCCTAGTTTAGTGGAGATCCATCAAGTGAGTCAGCACTAGCAATTCAGAGTAACAGAGGCTACTACTAAGGAAAGAGGAAATAAGCACCAAACTCAGGAGGAGGAAAGGGTCAGGGTCCAAGAGGCTCTCTAGAAGAGATGTATGAGTAGAGTCTCTGAAGGAAGTCCAAGAATCTCTCAGAGGAACACAGGTACAAAAGGGAGACATTAGACATTCTAGAGAGAGTAAACAGCACAGGCAAACATTTGTAGGCAGGAAACAATGAAGTCTATTTCAGGATGTTCAATAAATTAAATATGGATCTAGCATAGGGTGTAATAAAGTTGAATGAGATGAAGTTGAGTAGGTAAGCTGTGATGAAACCATCAGTTTATTCACTACAATAATGAGTTCCTGAAAAAGAGGAGAAAGCTATAGAATTTTAAGCATCGAGAAACACAAATAGATTTACTTTTAAGAAGATCATCTTGGGAGAAAGCTATCGGAAGCAGGGCATCCAGACTGGAGACTTTTTAATTGAGGAAAAAAAGGTCAGCCTGTGATAAGAGGGAAACACTAGTAAATGCACTAGCTGATGGGGTAAAGAGGTAAGTTGCAGAGACATTTGGCAAATAGAACCCAAAGTACTTGTTGACTGATAAGGCACTAAGAAGTCAAAGGAGGCAGGGATCTAAAAAGCCTTTATGGCTTCTGTTCAAGGCTTGAGAGGGTTCAATGCACATTTAGAGATGGAGTTAAGGAATTCAATTTGTTCATTTTGAATCTGAGATGTCATAGGGAAAATGTTTATTTAGAGAAATATACTCAGCTGGATATAAGGGTTCAGAGATTGGGAATGAAAGTCAGATTATGTAATTCCTTAAATTCAAATAGGTTACTGGAAAAGTCTAAAAGCCAAAGAATTCCTAAACTCGAATCCATCTCTATGTCTGAAACATACTCTAGATATGAGATTTTACTTATCAACATGAAGGGAAAGCAGGTCCTTCTGCTGCAGAACTCAGTGTTAAAACTAAATTATTTAGCTAGGTGATCAAACATTCACTCCTAGTTCCTGTTAGTTACAGATGCCAATGATAATCTTGATTTTGTAACTTTATAGCTCCACTCCAATAACCTAATAGCTTCTGGCATGTGACCTGGATATGACCTGGATTCAGGTAGAGGAAGAAAAGAGAAGGAAGACTCAGCTGACCATGGAAATATTCAAGGGCCAATCACTGAAGAATAAAAATAAAACATGGTCTTTTCAAATGTTGAAATTTTAGCAATGTTAATAATAAATGAGCCATAGCTTCAGGGAACACAGATGCATTTTGGGAAAATATTAAGTTAAAAAAAAAAAAAAAGTAAGCCCAAGAAGACTATGGTGGGGCTGGAGAGATGGCTCAGAGGTTAAGAGCACTGACTGCTCTTCCAGAGGTCCTGAGTTCAATTCCCAACAACCACACGGTGGCTCACAACCATCTGTAATGAGATCTGGTGCCCTCTTCTGGCCTGCAGTCATACATGCTGTATACATAATAAATAAATCTTAAAAAAAAAAAAAAAAAAGAAGACTATGGCATGACATTTTCATAAGTTCAAAAATAAAGTTTTAAGTAATACATTATTTATGAGCTCAAACTGTTAAGATATTTTAAAAGGCAAGTGAATGATAAACACAAAATTTAAGCTAGCGCCTATCTGTCAGGGTATGGGGAATTTGGAAGTAGCATGTAAGTGGTTTTAACAGTATTAAAAACATTTTATTTCTTAGATGGGCACTAGATTTACTTCATGACTTACACTTTACATATACATTGTTCTTTACACACTTTCTTTCCTTGTAGAGTTGGAGATGAAGCCTGCTTTTATGTTATATACATTCATATATAAGAATATCTATCAAGCACTATAAGCCCTTAAAGAGTCATTTAACTTAGTTTAATCCTTAAGCATGACCCTTTCCTGATAAAGCATCGTATTTATTGTGAAATCTTACCAAACACACACACACACACACACACACACACACACACACACACACACATACTTACAAACAACATTGAATACTGAATCCATTAGAAATAATTTTCCATCAACCTTCCCAATAAAACTGCACTGTGTCTAACTTAAGACCATAATTCATAGACCCTGCTAAGCAACAATGACTTAAAGTGTATGTGTCTGAAGAGGAAACAAGACGTACACTTTAGAACTATCTCTGTAGATGACGCTGGACTTAAATTCACAGAGTTCTGCTTGCCTCTGGAGTGCTGGTATTAAAGGCATTCACCACCACACCCAGCAAGGCGTGCATTTTAATAGACTAAAACATAAAAAAAAGTGTAAGTTATATAAATAGAAAAAACAGAAAAAAGGTAATGAACAAAATACACGAGGGAAATATAGACAAATAACAAAAACGAAATGTTAATAAGAATGAAGTATGAAGCTGGGCAGTGGTGGTACAGGGCTTTAATTCCAGCACTTGGGAGGCAGAGGCAGGTGGATCTCTGGGAGTTTGAAGCCAGCCTGGTCTACGGGGCGAGTTCCTAGACAGCCAATGCTACAAAGAGAAACCCTGTCTTAAAAAACCAAAGGGGGGAAGAGAGAGAGAGAGAGAGAGAGAGAGAGAGAGAGAGAGAGAGAGAGAGAGAGAGAGAGAGAGAGAGAAAGAGGCAGTTTTTTTATATTTATAAACTAGAAAAAGCATAAAATAATCATGCAGTCTAAAAGCTTTCATTGGAAAGATTTCTTGCAATAATATTTAAAAAGTATATACAGACTGCATCAAATATTCAAAGCAGGAGAAGATACTTACAAAGTCATCTCCTGAGTCAGCTCCCATAGAGGCCACAGACTCCTTGCTCACAGACCGTGGGATCCTAGTCGAGCCTGCTGGCCTCTGAGCAACAGCAGTCTCTTCTGCAATTTTCTTCTTTAGTTTTGCGAACATTTTTTCTGTGTATCTATCTTGCAAGGGTAACTAACCATTGAACTTGTCAGTGAATGAAATAAAAGACAGAAGTACCTACAAAGGCTCAGGTCTCCAGTTTAGCTGCATCTCACTTAAATGCTGGCCAAAGAATTTTGGCAAAACAGTATCTATAAATCAGATGAAAAGAGATAGCTCCAAGTTAAACACTGGAAAGATTTCACATCTCAGTTGTCATGTTAAGCTTCAGGTTTCAAAAGTAGTCTCATAGTTAAGTACACACACACACACACACACACACACACACACACACACACACACACAAAGCTTCAGGTTTCAAAAGTAGTCTCATAGTAAGTATACACACACACAGAGAGAACACAATTATTAAACACTTAAAAAACACTCAGGTGCTTTATTTGCATCTGGTCAGAAAGAGGCAGAACAACCTGCCAACAACTATGTGGCTAAGTTAGAGGGCTAGTATCTGAACACAGAGCTCTTTAACTCACAAATCTCAACTTTTTGTTTTAGTATACTACATTAGCAATGGTGTATGACATGCAGTAAAATTTCCCAGGTCAATACCATGTAATCATTACTTAATGCTTTTGAATCTTCTAATAACCTGTTTACTAAGAATTTAGTGCTCTCTGTAAGTCAAAGACACAAAAGTAAAAAGATATAAAATATGCAACTCAGTCCCTGGTTTTCAATTAGGTGCTTCTTCCCAGAGGGGGAATAAAAAAGTTACAACCTAGAAAAAAACCCCAAGAAACTCAGACTAAATATAGCCATCAGATACTCTATTACTTTTCACATCTGTGTGGAAATGTGTGATTTTCTTTGTGCTTCATAATATTACTTCAAGTTACAATTTCTTTTCTTCCCATATGGTATTTAACATGAGATTCAAAAATTCTTTCCTCTCAATAAAACATTACTGGGCCAACTGTGGTGGTGCAGGCCTTTAATCCCAGCAAAGGCACAAATATCTCGGTGAATTCAATGCCAGACTGGTCTGCATAGTGGAACACAGCAAGTTCCGGGCCAGCCAGGGCTGCATAGTGTGGTGGCGCACGCCTTTAATCCCAGCACTCGGGAGGCAGAGCCAGGCGGATCTCTGTGAGTTCGAGGCCAGCCTGGGCTACCAAGCGAGTCCCAGGAAAGGCGCAAAGCTACACAGAGAAACCCTGTCTCGAAAAACCAAAAAAAAAAAAAAAAAAAAAAAAAACGAAGCTGGGCGGTGGTGGCGCACGCCTTTAATCCCAGCACTCGGGAGGCAGAACCAGGCGGATCTCTGTGAGTTCGAGGCCAGCCTGGTCTCCAAAGCGAGTTCCAGGATAAGGCGCAAAGCTACACAGAGAAACCCTGTCTCGAAAAACCAAAAAAAACAAACAAACAAAAAAAACAAAAACAAAAAACAAAAAACGAAACAAACTCCTACCATTCTGTTTCAACCTTAACTTTTCATGTCTTGTGAAGGATACACTCTGCTCTAAGATGACAGACGATTCCTTACCACTTCAGATTATCCATTAAGTCTATAAAATCCTTCAAAAACTTTACCCCCAATATCTGTAAACCATTGTACTCACCTGTCTTATCTACTATATTTAAAACAGTCTGGAGGTCAAAGTCACTGCCCTGCGTGAAAACAAAGGTAAAATGGGTTGGATATTTCAAGTGCAAGACCAAAATGTTCATCGAAGGCGGCATGAAAGGAGGGCAGGGATGACTTAAATGGACAAAACATCTTGTCACTATAGTACAGCTGTTAAGAGGATGCACCGAAGTCCCTGTGAACAACCTGAGAGTTTCACTTGCAAAAGCAGAAAGACTTTCTCACAGCGTTAGGTGCCTACATTTATTTCTTCCTAGGAGTACTGAATTAGTTGAAGGTTTCCAAGGGACAGTATTTCTCAGCTGATTCTCACACACAGTGTTTACCTGGTCAGACCTGGTAGTCTGGTCTCTGAGTCTTGACTCGCACTAAGTCTTTGGAGCAAAGTTCATACAGATGCTTAAGGTCCAGAGATGCCGGCCACCGCAATTTGGATCCCACTCCCTCTGGCTCGCTCTGGAGCCGCGTCCTCAATAGGGCTGTCAATCAAGGGAGGGACCCAACCTGTTTGACAGCAGGAAGATTGCGTCCCAGAAAGAAGTGGTGACTTGGCTAAGGTCGCAGGACGGCTCGACCCCCAGGCCAAGGGGCCGCTTCCTTCCCCTCCCGAGTCCTCTGAGCACTCCAACACCGCCCCCACCCCTGGGTCGGGGTCCGGTGTGTCCCCGCCTAGCGGCGGACTGCCCGAGACTACCGGAGGAGGCCTACTTGCGTCCTGCAGTTTCGGCAGCGAACTTGCTGCTTTTGGGGCAGCCAACACGGCCCCGCCTCCGCGGACTCTCGGGGGCGCGAGGAGCGTCACCAGCCCCCACCTCCAGCCGGCTAGCCAAGCACCAACCCGGAACCGCACGTTTGCCGCGCGCCGGAAGTGGTTGCGCGTCGGCGCGTTCTCTGCTCGCGCATGCGCCCATACGCGACCCATTGGCGCGCCAGCGAACTGTTTGGGCCATTGGGCTAGAACGGCAACCGGGAGCGGGCACTTTTATCTTGGCTGCCCGGCCACTGCCACGTCAGCATGTGCAGGACCGCGGATACCAACCGGGCTGCACTCGACCGCCAAGAACTTCGCTTCTGAAGTGGGAGGAGCCCCGTGGCTGACGCGGCCCTGGGGCAGGCGGTACTCGAGGGCTGGTCCTTCGGCTACAGGAAACTACTCCAAAAACTACAATGCGCACCTCGCACATTGTGATCCAGGTTTCCACTTTAGCGTCTGAGGTCCGAGTTCCTGTCGAGCACACATTTCATATAACTGAAAGAAGTTTCTAGAACCTCATTATCCTTGTTCTGCCCCGGACTTCTATATTCCTCAATTCCAAGCCAAGCATTCTACATTAAAGAAACTTCAGTCCTGCCCAAGGAAACACCAGCCCTTGGGTTTGTTGATTCCATCTATTCTTTCCAGTTTTCTCCATGTCCTAGTTGTAGCAAACAGCAAAATCAGTACTCTCAAATCTACAAAGTAGCATTATGAGCGTGCCTGAGGTATATATAGCCCCAAACAAGGAAACATGTCAATAATGCTAAAGAAATACACAAAACTTTAAGCAAATAATGTTTATTTTTTATATTGATGATAACACTTAATATATACGTGATTCAAGATACAAAATTCATTTACAAGAGTTCACACTTGATGAATGTATACACATTCTAGAGATATTATCAATGCAAAATCACTGACCACAAAAAACAAATATTCTGTAATCTTGTTATTTAACAAACATCAAAACAACATTTTATTTTCCAACCTCTACTATTTAAGTGCCCTCAGTGATAGGGACTGTGTAACAGGAAAGTACATTGCAATGCCTACAGAATCTGCTCTGCAGAATCACAGTGTTTGAAATTTATGTAGTGAAGAAGTGAAAGGCTTGCATCCTTTATGACAAATCACGAGTCAAGTGATCAACTCAAGAAAATGTTCAAGAACTTGTCAATATCTAAGGTTTATAAAATGTTAATTTAACAGACAAAAGCAGAAAATGACTGCTGGAAAGGAACAAAACAAAACTCCTTTAAGAGAATGTGTGGTTTAAGCAATGTAGAAACACCAACAGACAAGACTTTTACAACACAAATGTTCAAGTCAAATGATACTGACAATATAATTTTCCCCTTAAGTCATTACAGTAATAGTCTCTTCAAAATTTATCATTAACACATAAACTTTGTGAATCCAAACAGTTTACAGAGCTAGCTGACTGACATGACAGGTTTATTCTAAAATATTAACTCACAATACCCAAATTTTAATACAAATGAAGACTGTCTCAAGGATAATAGTGATCTGTGATCAACTACATAAACAACTGGTTAGCTTTGTTACTTGCATGACAGAGAGCACTTGGATAAGGACTGTTACAAGAAAATTGTTGTGCTTCAATCTCTTGAGAGCTAATAAATATACTCTATAATCCCTACAGTGTTACAGCTCTATAACATTTCAGTTACAGACAAGCATAATTTTTTAATAAAGTGTTTCATATTACTAGAAAGTCAAGTATAGTTTCTGCTATGATTTCAACAAGTGCATTTCTGACTAACAATGTAGACAATGGATTCACCATTATTTTTAGGGTAAAGAAGATCAAACAATTTTAAAAAAACTTCTTACTTGATTAAATTAACATTTAGTGATACTTTGAACAAAGCTAACTGACAGTCTTAAAATGCAAACTGCTCAGAAAATAACAAAATTCTGTGAAATTATACAAATCTTTACAGCAAAGTAAAATAAGTAATTTCTAACTACTTCATGTGATTCAGTGACAAATGCAACCACTACTTATATTGGTGCTAGAAAACCAGGGTAACTTATCTGGGGAAGTTCCTTCCCTTGTAGTCTCTACTAAGAATATATTAGGACACTTACCTGCATTCCTTAATATGTAAGACCTTTCTGCATCAATTTTAAGAATCCCATAACATACAGGACTCCAGCTGAAGAGCAAGGCTTATTAAAATTAAAAAAAAAAAAAAGTCTGGAAAACTAGTGATCATGGTCTATGTGGTGAACAAAAAGCCACAAAAATCAAGTTCTGAATTACTTTACTGAACCACACAATGTAATTTAATGATGATATAATAAAGAATTATTTAAAAAACCCATTTTTCAGGAACTAGTAACAAAACTTATTATCCTATGACACTTTAATGTTTTCCCCCTGAAGTTTTTAAAATACATAACTGTATCCTTTTAACTTAGGAGTGCAGAAGAGGATGGGAGTTAAATTTTGAAACATACAGTGGCATGTCTCTGTGGTTTGGAAATGTTTACTGAGGAAAGGGGTAACATCATTTGAAATTTTATAATGGTTATTATTTTTTTTTGGTGGGGGGAAGGTTTCAAGACAGGGTTTCTCTGTGTTGCCCTGGTTGTCCTGGAACTCAGAGAGATCCACCTGCCTCTGCCTCCTGAATATTGGGATTAAAGGCGTGTACTACCACTGCCCAGCTATAATGGCTATTTTTGCTTGCTTCATTTTTAAGAAAATTCATGGTTCAAACTGTAATGTTTATAAATCTCACTTTTGAACCAGGGACGATTGGACATTCATGACAGTTTTAAAAGGGGAAAAAAAAGACAAAATAGTGATAATACACAAATAAAAAAATTTAAATACCTTGCACTGCAGACCTGTAACAACTTGCCATAATTCCTTTAATTTGAGAGTGATGTAACAACCCATTAATTTTCATTTCATCAGCCTGTGAGAAAATTAAAGTCTGAAATCTGAAATTAGTGATATTCCCACAAACAATACATCTAAAAAGATGATTGTCTTAGGATACAGACTAGAATTGTCCACTTAAAGGAAAAATATTTGCAACTTGTAGACTGTTCTGTGACTAAATTCAGACTGAGTCTGTAAAATGCAATGTCATGTACTTTAAATTGTTTTTAAAAGTCCGAATCTGCTATCAGAATATGTAAAACAAAACAAGACAAAACCCCCAAAACCACTGCTTTGAGTAGTCGGCTAACGTTAAAAAAAAAAAAAAAGATAAAACCACAAAAAGATATTAATGATATTTTAAAATTATGAAACGGTAAAAAAAAGAATTATGAAATGGTGTTACAGTTCTGAATAATTAACAGTGTTGTGTAAAAATGGAGTTCTATACTGATTTTCACTTTAGAAAACATAGTTACAGGATTTCAAAGAAAATACTTCTATGGTACCAAATTAGTTATACTTCATACACTTATGCTCACCTAATCACATGTTCTTCTTTATCATTCCTTCCAGGTAAGCAGGCGATTATCCTAGCCACACATAAATTATTCTCCATTAAATATAAAGATGTTGAAAATTAACTCTTGTGCTCAGAACTCAGGGAAAATGGGACTAAGTATAGATTTATGTTTGGAAGGCCTAGTCTGAGGACGACGAATCACCTTTTTATTTTCATTAAGTTAAGTGGTCCCAGTATTCAGGAAAGACTCGAAGTTGACTATGTGTGCAACATCAGCATATAAGAATTCAAGAGAATGTAGGGTAAAGGCTTGGTTTTCTCAGCAATTCGTGTTTTATTCAACTGCAAAGTTACCAGCTTTGTAACTGTTTGGGACATAAGTTACAGGTACAACATCAACCTTACCTACTATGCTTTAAAAAAAAAAAATGAATATTTAAGTGTATGAGTGTTTAGCCTGCATAATATGTCTATGCATCATGTGCATGCAGTGCTCACAGAGACCCGAAGAGGCTGTTAGACGCCCTAGTAATGAAGGTTGTGAGGAGCCATGTGGGTACTAGGAATGAAACCCAAGTCCTCTGTAAGAGGCCTCTTGGCTGGGCATGGTGGTGCATGACTTTACTCCTAGCACTCAGGAGGCAGAGGTAGGAGGATCTCTGTGAGTTCAAGGCCAGCTTAGTCTATATAGTAAGCTCTAGGACAGCCAGTACTACAAAGAGAGGGTCTGTCTCAAAAAAGCAAAAAAACAAACAAAAAGGTGCTCTTAACTGCTGAGCCATCTCACCAGTCCCTAGTGTCATCAATTTTAAACAACCTGCAAAAAGGTTTGGTTGCTTAACCAACATTAGAGCCTGTGAATATTTTTTTTGAAGGATTTCTCAGAAATAACACCTTAATGCATCTTAGTATATTTTGAAAAAAGATAACTAAGAGTATAATTGAAACAATGGGGAGGTAAATGTAATAATTTTAAAAGTGGCAGAATTGACTTGAACTGGTTTTTTCTCTTTAAAACAATTTAATGTTAATAAAAGAGGTTTGATTTTTTTTGAAGAATGGAGTAGGAAGTTGCCTTGCAGTTATACTTTACAATGCAGAAATAACTTTACTCTTTTCAGTGAATGTATAAAAGTGTTTAAACATCCTTTATATTCATTTATGCAAATAAATGTATAAACTAAAGATATACTCTGCAATATCCAAACATTCACAAACTGTCAATGTACCTATTTTCTATAATTTTAATGTCCCTAACACTATCATCTCAAGCCTTTCTGATCTGATTTTTGAGCCAGGGTTTCCTGTAGCCTACGCTGTCCCTGAAACTGCTATGCAGCAGAAGCTAGCCTTGAACTTTTGATTCTCCTACCTCCTTCTCCCAAGAACTGGAATTACAGATGTACCTACACACACACACACACACACACACACACACACACACACACACACACAGTGCTTAATTGAAAGCCTAGGGTTTCTTAGCCTCTCAGGCACTTCATATTAAGAAATCTACTTCGAGGGTGAATGTATGGTTAAACTGTAGAACAAGCTGAGTAGTGATGCACAATGCCTGTAATCCCAGCACTCAGGAGGCAGAGGCGGAGGCAGATTTCTGAGTTCAAGGCCAGCTGAACTACAGAGTGAGTTCCAGGGCAGCCATGGCTACACAGATTTGGTTTCCCAAACCAAATCAAAAGACTCATTTTTGATATGCAATGCCATTAAGAAAAGTCTACTTAAGCAGACACTGCTACAGACACACACATCAACAACCCAGCTCCTCTCTGTCCAGCCCACCAAGGTTCGACCTTTCTTTAGCTAATGCCCTTTCTTCTGCCTCACAGTGACACATACAGAATGAGCATATTAATGGAAAAAAATTCAAAATTAAAATTTAATAACAGATATTGAAATGATAAACATGGGTATTTCTTCTACTTAAAAGCCATTTCCTATTTTCAAATGTGAGCAAAGTAATTTTTTCAATAGCCCCCCAAAATCCTAATATAAACAATTTTCTACTCAGTAGTAGCTCTCAAATATGTGCTAAGAAAAATAAGGGACTAAGAAAGATTAAGATCCTACTGGTGTCTCAGTTTCACAAACTTAGGTTTCCAGGTTTCTAGCAAACTTATCAATTTAAATTGAAGTTTGTAGATGACTTTAAAGCTGAGAATAATTTGAACTCCAAAGGAGCCCATTTTATCCCAACACAGCCCCTTAAAATTGAGGCTTGTGGATGAGATCGAGCCACAACCTAATTATAGTAGCAGGAACAATGCCACTCTGATGTCCTCACAGAACTAAAATAAATTCAGCCCACAATGGGTATGGGTATATAATATATACACACACTGTATAACTGCATACCAAGATATTTACAGATATGTACGCATATATACAAAAAATTTATAGAGATTGCATTTAGCATCACAAAAATATACACATGCCATTAAAAATAAGAATTTCAAATAAATAAGTTCTAAAAAGAACCCTCAACCTAAATACTCTTTAATTCTCCAAGTAAACATGAGAACAGAAATCACCCCCACATCACCAGGAGACTCAAGGCATTCAGATTCAGATTCATATTGTCTTATACTCACACAAGGTGGACAGATGATTCTGGCAGTGGCCAAGTTTGCAGATCCTGGCATCTTAATATGTATCTATTCCAGAACATTCTCTGGTTATTGGGGTGATTATAAGTCTCCAGGGATAATTGAGATTTTTCACCTACGTTGAAACCACTCCTCAGACACAGACAGAGATTGAACTTGGAGAAGAATGCTAGAGAAGGGTCTGTAACTGATTCAGGAGTCTGATTTGGACTTCTCCCTTGACATTAATGAAATTCAGTACCATTACCCATTTAAGAGAATTCTATTGCATGACGGAGAAGAAAAACAAAACCAAACTCCAAACCCAAACCCCGAGTCAGGAAAACCTCAAGTACAATTCCAAAACTGTGGGACATTTAAACTTTGTTTAAAAATATAAAGGGCACAATAAATTCTGTGCTTTGAAAGGTTTCGAGAGCACCACTTCCTAGGAAGGAAACACTTACATACAAAGAATATATCCTGACTAAAATCAAAGAAAAAAAAAACATATGATTTTATAATTGTTAAAAATATGCTGGAGTGAATGATTCACTGGCATGAATATTCATTTTAGTGGGAATTAAACATAGGGCCTCGCAAATGCTAGGCAAGCACTCTATAATTGAACTTCATCCTGACTGGTTTGAGTATCTGATACAGTGAGAATAAAATCTTAATTCTTATGTTAAATACAGCTCTAAAGTTTTCCCTCTTGTTCAATACAGAAAGAAGCCTGAGCTACTGGAGAGAGGGGGCTGAGATGAGATCAGCAGCTTCTGACATCTCTGCTGCTTCTTCTATAAAACAGGAAAGGTGGCTGCCTTATATCAGAACTATATGGATACAGAAAGAAAATCTCATTGTGTTTCACTTTGCTTTGTATGTAACTGGTCTCTTGCAGTTTGATGCTTTCTAGTTGGTTTACAGTGGTTTTTTGTTTGTTGTTTTTCGAGACAAGGTTTTTCCGTGTAGCCCTGGCTGTCCAGGCACTTGCTCTATAGACCAGGCTGGCCTCAAACTCAAAGATCCGCCTGCCTCTGTCTCCTGTGTGCTGGGATTAAAGGCGTGTGCCACTACTGCCCACCGTTTACAGTGATTCTTAAGAGACTAGAAACTTTACCAGGATCTATAAGAGATTTGTGCAATTTGAGTACAAAAATTTTGCTTCCTCAGCTTTGCTGTTTTTAGCTCCAATATTTAAGGTGTTTTTTTTTTTTTTTTTTTAAATAAAATCTACGATTAAATAGGGCTTAAAATAAGCCAATCAGTTTTTGGGACAGGGTCTGATGTGGCCAAGGTTGGTCAAGTGCTCACTCTGTATGCTAGGGTGGCCTTGAACTCCTGAGGCTCTCCACCTTTAAGCACTGGGAATGGAAACCAGGGCTGTGTGCATGCTGGGCAAGGCTCTACTACTGAGCCACAATCTTCATCTTCAAGGCAAGGATTGTTAAGTTTCCTTTCTTGCATTCCAAGTGTCATTAAGAAAATGTGGTGCATGGCAGCTGTACAACTACATAATACATGTTTTTGTTTGTTTGTTTGTTTAAAGGCATAGATTTAGAAAAAGCTTCAAATTTCCTACTGTAGTTTTGCTCTCAAAAGATTCAAGATCTCTTAGCAATTATTTCTGAGATGGGCTTTTGCTATACAGTCTAGATTAGCCCTGACTTTGCAATCCTCCTGATTTAGCCTCCTATGTACTAAGACTATAGGCACACATCACCATACCCATCTCAAAATTGCTTCTATTTTTTTCTTTCTTTTTGAATTTTTTTCCCCCTAGTGATGGAGACCAAACATTGGATTTCTGAATGTTAGCTTAATGATCTACCATTGAGCTACAGCTTCAGTTTTGGTCCACTTTAGATCTTTAACCACCAGTTAGGAATTGCATTACTATTAGTTTAAAGGCCTGTGTTATAATCTAGATTTACTTTATGATCTCTAAGACACATATATTTCTGATCACGGAAGGTCTAATATGCCCAGGACAGTTTCTCTAAACAAGTCTCAAAACAACTAAGTAGGATGTAGGATTTTTTTTTTTTTTTAAAAAAAAAAAACAATCTTATTAAACATGATATGAAAAGGATGTTATAGTGCTAAAAACATACAAATCAACTTTTCTGGAAGCAACAGGGAGGAAATCAACATTTTTGGAACGAAGGCTCCGAACTGTAGAATGACAGACAGGAATAGGATCTTGGGTGAGTCACTCTGTTTTATACAGAGGAGTACTAAGAAGCAGACACATGAAGCTACTCGTCAAGGGCATCATGCTAGTTACTAGAGAAGCCAGGATCAGAAATCAGATTTCTTGGATTTGAAACCAGTGGTTCTTATGCTTAGCAAAAAGGGATTAAACACAGGACAGAGCCACTTTAAATGTCAGGGAACAGTAAAATGTGTGCTGTACACACAGCACATAAGGGAACTGGACAAGAGGCCAGACAGCTAATCATCATCTATTGCTACAGTCTAGGAGAAGAGTTGGGAAAGGAAAACCATGATATGTTATGGTTTTGCAAACAAAGAGAAATAGGCTATTTCTTGTTTGTTTATTTTTTATTGAGACAGAGTTTCTCTGTATTGTAGCCCTGGCTGTCCTGGAACTTGCTCTGTAGACCAGACTGGCCTTAAACTCACAGAGATCTGCCTGCCTCTGCTTTCCCAGTGCTGGGATTAATGGTGTGTGCCACTACCTGGTGGGAAGTAGGCTTTTTAAAAATGAAAAACCACCACCTGGAAAGGCTCTTTCCAGAGTAACTTTTTCCCAACCTTTAAGCAATATGGAATGAAAGAACAAACAAACAATTTTAAAAGCAAATGAAACATCCTAAGTCCTGACCCAACCATAACCTAGACTTCATGAAGTTAGTGCACTGGAGCAGATAGGGCTACAACTTAGCCTCAAGTGTTGCTCTAGGTGAGAAAAGGTAACCAGGTTAAAACAACACATCAAGATTTCCTTACGAGGGCTGAACGGTGGTGGTGCACACCTTTAATCCCAGCACTCAGGAGGCAGAGGCAGGCGGATCTCTTTGAGTTCGAGGCCAACCTGGACTACAGAGTGAGTTCCAGGACAGGCTCCAAAGCTACACAGAGAAACCCTGCCTCGAGAAAAAAAAAAAAATTCCTTAGGAAAGAGGTACTGGAAATAGACACCCCATTTCTCTAGGAACCACCAGAGTTAGACAATGAGCCTATACAGAAAACAGGCAGAAGGCCTGTGAGTCACGCATTTCTGACCTTAAATGCCATGCAGTCCAAAGGAGCCATGATGGGAGGAACCTTCACAGCTAGTACCTTTGAGATTATGAAGGAGATGGAGAAGAACACACAAAAACCTTTATATTACTGAGTCCTATTTAAAATAATAATAAAAACTTGTGCATGAATACAAAATAACAAAACATAGGGAGTTTTAATATCTTACTTCCAAATTGTCAAATGTAAAACCAACTCACAATTTACTTTCCAGTAACCCAGTTATCCTCAACTCACATTGACAGTATCTCTGACATTGATGCCTTGGAAACTCGAATATGAAAAAGAATTAGAAACTGTGCAGTGAGTATACCAATGGATCCATTAAGATACAATTTAAAGCCTGATACTGTCAATGAATAGTCTATGTAGAAATCCTACTGGAGACAGTCCAGGGTTATGAAACCAACGACTTGATTTTTGGCTGAAATATTTAAAAGTATTTTTCTTTATATTTCCAGCATTCAAGACTACAAAGAAAATAAAATATACAAAAAATCTCATGATAATATATTCACATTCTAAGTAAGCTCTGTAACCTCAAAATTCCAATTGAAGATTTATTTTCCAGATGTAAATCAATCCTAAACAGATTCTAAAAGTTTGAAAACATTTAATGAAATTCAGTGATCTCAAGAAATTCCTTTGTACATTATTTTCCTACCTATTATCGTGGAGTGAGAAGAAACTCTACAGAAGGGCTCTGCTCTTGATTTTCAGTAGTCCATGTGGCCAGTTTCACCACTATGAACAGTTAGATTATTTCCTAAATCCAGACATTTAAAGGTCCAAGTATAACTTCTGGATTATTCTCATTATGTAAAAATAAACAATTTATTCTTCTTAGGGAGGCAATAGTACCTATCTGAATGTAGGATTGGATGTTGGAGGTAAGTATCTAATTTCAAAACCAAAAAAATAAAAATTTCAAGATTGAGACTTTAAAAGACTTGAAAGATTATATTTTAAAAGTTATCCTAAAACTTTGAACTTTTTTTCAGTTTGCCTTTAAAATGGTGGTTCCTAAATTCACACAAAAAAACAAACAAAACAAAAACAAAAAACTGAGTAACGGTCTCTGTCATTACACAAAAACTGCACCGTTTAAAACCTGTGGAAGATGAAAACTGTTAAACATGAGGGTTTTAATAGTCGTCCATAGAATTCTCAAAGAAGATGTTCCGAACATCCAGAATGGAGGCCAATTCTAAAATATGCTTCTGAAGGTGAGGATTCTCCACAGTTTCATCCCTTGGCAGTTGTGGATAGGATTCTGGGTAATTTCGAGTTTCCTGTTAAATAAGGAAAGTTATGTGTCACAATCTTATGGGAGGAAACTACTCAGTTTGACAATATTAAGGAGTAGCTCAATGTTTATTTTCGTCTCTTGTCAGTTATTATTACTACTATATGTGTTTTTT